TTTAAACCAGCCATAGAATATTGGAAAAAGAAAATCAATGTATTTTTGTCCAGAATGTTCTAACATGTTCTTGTATAGGTTTTCTGGAAAACTCCAGTTTTCATCCACTCACATTATGGTCCCTCGAAAAAATGGCCCGATCGACCTCAATATTTTGCCACAGATGATACACCGATATTACCGCGAATTTTTCGTAGGACACATTTGCATATTTCGTGCAGTGTGTGATGAGAGGTCGGGTGAGGACAGTGCGAGAGCATACGTCGACATTTCCGCGAACCCACATTACCACGACAACAGATCCGTCAAGACGCATCTACAAATTTTTGAAAATAGATTATAAAGAAACTAAACTTTAAAAAGTTAACGAAACAGCTGGCGTTACTGGCGAATACACTCGTTATTAAATTTGATTACATGTTTATCTTAAACTAGTTACATATCACATAAGTACTTGAAAAGATCAAGAAAATTCAAACCCCATCACAAAAATATCTTCTGCTTGAAACTACTTTTTCTAACTCACTCTCACACTGCCCACACCTCTACCACGTACTGCCCAAATTAACCAAAAAAACTGCTGCATAATTAATACTCGCATTAGTTCTAGAGATTAATACATGCTTCTTAGATGGAACACCTAGAGCAGAATGGAGAGCTTTTTGTGGCAAAACCTGAATTGTCAAGTAGCCAAACGTCATGGGCTAATCAAATCGTTTTTTACTAAAATGTTTCATTTGCCCATGTGTATCAGGAGTTTACCTAGATGTCGCCTAGTTCCGTTCAAAAGTGTTCTCTTAATTGCTGGAACTGTTCATCTTTTTCTGTAGTCAATGTCTGTAGTCAATGCCAAGGCTTACCTTCCAGACTCGGTTGCTTAAGTTATCAATTGATTCAATTCGAAATACACTTCCGATAGAGAAAAGGACTTCTTCTTCATCCTTGTGCATACTTATTTCCTTTATGTTAGAAAATGGTTTTGTGTCTGGGCGATGGTCAGCATTTATTTAGGTGTAACTCCTGCTGTATCTAAGAAATCGAGAAAGTCTTTTGCCTTCTTTTGCTATAAACAGTCTTTGCTCGGTGCCTGTCTAAGGAGATAGCTTCTTCAGTCTCAAAATGTGGCAAGGTATTGGAGAATGCTGTAATAAATGAAAATTAAGAAATCCTCGTTAAGCAGAGTTTACGGGTAGTTAATGAAGTTTGAAGTGAAATTTATCCGCGTTTGAGGTACGGCTTTAGTCCGATCTTACACTTCTCAAAAAAAAGGAATGCTACTTACTTTAAAGCAATATCAGTACTAATTAAAGTTCTTGTCCGTCTTGGACAATCTTCACACAAACATTCACTTGGGTTTTCATACTCTTGCATTGTTCGAACATATCTAAAAACATTTTCATCAACAGTGCCAAATAAATTATATTGATTGTTGCCGTTTGCTGTTGGGGAATTTAATCTTTTATGAATGTTAGGCCAATATAAACGAGCTGTATTCCACCCACCACTTTCCACCAGCTGAAATGTCTTACGTAAATTACAGTAGATAGATTTCGTTTCACGATCAAATAAGGCTCGAAACTGGCTTGAATAAGAAACATAGGCATAATATAGAACAAATAATGCTGAGTCTAATGAACATGTATTAATAACAGAATATTTTGTACCATTAAAAATTGCATTTTTAATAGAATATTTAGACCAAGGAATTGTTACTTTTTCAATTAAAGCTGTACATAGATGTTCCGATTTCGGCCACTGCTTAGGCGATTCTTTAATTTTTTGTCTTTTCTGATTTTTCTTTGTTGGTGGAGATCGTGGCTTATGATTTAATGAATTATCAGAAGACAAACGATTAGATAATGAAGTAACGGTTAACGAAGAAGCAGTTCGTTTTGGAGATAATGCCGATGTGCTAGAGGAACGAGCTGGCATATCATAGTCATTATATTGTTTTGGTATTGTACATTGACGTGAACTTCTTCTTGTCTCTGTAGTTGGGCTATCAGTAGAATTAAGGCTCAGAGTTGATAGAGCTGCTTTTATTACAAGTGGTTGAAGAACAGGGAAAATATCATCCTTCATATCAGTATCATTAAAATTCATTTCTGATTCATGATCATTGAGAAGTGGAGGTAATTGGTTGTCATTTGATTTAACACTTGTATTTAATATCTCATCATTATCATCTATATTCAGAACATTTTTAATATTCATATTATTATTGCCACTAACATTGTTTTATTATTATAATTCCACGAATTATCAGATTCAGAATTAATCAATAGTTTATTATCATCACTGGAAAGAAAACAAGTGCAAAAATTTGGCATTCTTTTGAAAATTTAGGACGTTTACCTCAGGTGAGAATCTGCCAAGCTATCTAAAGAATTCGTTTTTGTCTTGTGTTGAAGAGTATCGTCAGATTTACTTCGTCGTACTCTGAAATGAATGAAGATGTCATGCGTTTGTGAAAATGATGAAACCGGCAGCAAATACATAC